GTGGTAAAGGTGGCAAAGGCTTGGGTAAAGGAGGTGCAAAGCGTCATCGCAAAGTGTTGCGTGATAATATCCAGGGTATCACGAAGCCAGCTATCCGTCGTTTAGCTCGTCGTGGTGGCGTGAAGCGAATCTCTGGACTTATCTATGAAGAAACTCGTGGCGTTCTTAAGGTCTTTTTGGAAAATGTTATTCGTGATGCTGTCACATACACCGAACACGCCAAGAGGAAGACAGTCACAGCCATGGATGTTGTCTATGCGCTGAAAAGGCAAGGTCGCACACTGTACGGCTTTGGCGGTTAGGAAAGAAGAAAGTATAAAAAGCAACTTACACTCGCACCAATCGGTCCTTTTCAGGACCACCAACATGTTTCCCTAAAAGAGCTTGAAAATATAAAATTCAATATACATTTTTCGCAAACCAAATCGGTATTGGGCATATATTTAGCTGATGTTCAGTATTGGCTACGAAATGATCGAGAAATTGAATTAATTCCGTCTAGTTAAACCATTTGGTTTCGACATTTATGAAAAATTTGAAGCTATCAAAAAGAAGTATTGTGCATATTTCATATTCGAATAAGAATTCGATGTTACAGAAATCTTAGCTAAGCTGCGGTGAAAACTCGCGTGTATTTCAAGGGTACATTGCCAAATTTATAGTTTACATATCAGCAATATTAGCAATATTTCAGCTCAACATATTTGAAACCTTTGGAATATGGAACAGAAACACTAAATGACTAAATGAATGGCGATGACTGTACTTTTCTCAGCGTCTACCATCTGTAAATTTTCCCTTTATTTATTCTTATCATATACATATTATTTAGAATGTTTACGTATGAAAAAAGTCATCTCTTTTGTATAAATTGGTCGTCCTGAAAAGGACGTTTGGTTTCGATTTGCGTAAATTCGTTATTAGTAATTTAAGCCTTCTTTTCGGTCTTCTTGGGCAACAAAACTGCTTGGATGTTAGGCAACACACCGCCCTGGGCAATAGTGACGCCTGAAAGCAGTTTATTCAACTCCTCATCGTTGCGGATGGCCAATTGCAGATGGCGAGGGATAATTCTGGTTTTCTTGTTATCGCGGGCTGCATTACCAGCCAACTCCAAAACTTCAGCGGCCAAGTATTCCATAACAGCCGCCAAGTACACTGGAGCACCGGCACCAACACGCTCGGCATAGTTGCCTTTGCGAAGAAGACGGTGAATACGACCAACGGGGAACTGAAGGCCAGCGCGGTTCGAACGCGACTTTGCCTTTCCCTTAACTTTTCCACCTTTACCACGGCCAGACATTTCTTAAATTCTTTTTTTTTCACTTTAACACTGCACAAACAAGTATCGAATGCCCAGCCCTCTCAACAATATGACAACTTATACTTTTTTCACTACCTACTTTTTCAGGTAAACGAGGGTGAGTTGTGCTGTTCGCAAACATGAAAACGTTGTACAAAAAAACCTATAAATGTTAAGCAATTTGTGTGCTTCTGTCAAACATTTGTGAAGTGAGTTAAAGTGAACTTGAGTGGATAATAACAATCATGCCGCCTAAGACAAGTGGAAAGGCAGCCAAAAAGGCTGGCAAAGCCCAGAAGAATATTACCAAGAATGATAAGAAGAAGAAGCGTAAGAGGAAGGAAAGCTACGCCATCTACATTTACAAAGTGCTAAAGCAGGTCCATCCTGACACTGGAATCTCGTCAAAGGCCATGAGCATCATGAATAGCTTTGTGAACGACATTTTTGAGCGTATTGCTGCTGAAGCCTCTCGTTTGGCCCACTACAACAAACGTTCTACGATTACCAGTCGGGAAATCCAAACTGCAGTCCGTCTTCTGTTGCCCGGAGAGTTGGCCAAGCACGCTGTCAGTGAAGGAACAAAGGCAGTTACCAAGTACACTAGCTCCAAGTAAATCTTAGCTTGATGTATGCAGAACACCCAAAAGCAAAAGGCCCTTTTCAGGGCCACAAATCTTTTTTCAAAGAATATGAAATATTTCCATGCTAACAAAATTTCTGATTCTGATTCTGAATAGATTACCTTTAATTCTTATTGTATAAAACTTACTGAAGCAAATATATTTGCTTGCTATTCAAGAAAAACTATAAAATTATCGTTACTCCACAAATATCCCACTACAATTTCCTACGTTTTTATTATGATAAAGTTGGACACGTAAAAACTATTTGACGAAAACAGAAATTAACATCGAATATATTTCAAATATTGCTGCTGACTAAATAGGATCCGTTTCTTTTTATATTACTTTTAACAGCAACAAGAAAGATACAGGTAGAAAAATATTTTTTTTTCTCTTGGATATATAAAATTGTAGTCCTGAAAAGGACTTTGTTTAATAGCAAATTTCATAGTTTTGAAATTTGTTCATACTCTCTCTGAAGAGTATATTTCGATGTGAAATTACTTCTTTGTTGCAGACGCAGTTTTTGCCTTTGGCTTCTTGGCAGCAGCTTTTTTTGGCGACGCAGCCGCGACAACCTTCTTAGGCTTAGCACTGGTGGTCTTAGGTTTGGGAGTTTTTGGCTTTGCTGCGCTTGACTTTGCCTTTGCTGTTGTGGGCTTGGCTTTAATAGTACCAACTTTCTTTGCATCTTTGGCCTTCGCTTTTTCAGCTTTCTTCTTGTCAACACTCTTTTTGGTCACCACAGCCTTCGACAACTTCTTATCAGCGACACCCTTTGGTTTCTTGGTAGCAGATATAGTTTTCTTTTTAGCTGCTGCTGCCGACGAAGTTACCTTCTTGGATTTCTTCTCTACAGAGGACACCTTAGGCTTAGGCTCCTTTTTGGAAGATGCAGACAACTTAAACGAACCAGATGCACCCTTGCCCTTTGTTTGAATCAACTTTCCATTCGCAACTGAATTCTTCAGGTACTTCTTAATGAATGGGGCTAGTTTTTGGGCATCGCACTTGTAAGTGGCACTGATATATTTCTTTATAGCCAAAAGGGATGAGCCACCACGTTCCTTTAAATTTTGTATCGATGCGTCCACCATCTGCTGAGTTGGTGGGTGTGTTGGAGGAGCCGTTGTTTTCTTTGCCTTCGATGCGGATGCGGATGCTGGCTTTTTAGCAGCTACCTTCTTCTCAGCTGAGGCTGTTTGGGGAGTCACGGGAGACGCAGATACTGCAACAACGGAATCAGACATTTTTATTCAGCACTTCTTTACTTCTTCACTATAAAAACAAATGCAACGTTTTTGTTTAATCGAAATTTGCCAGCTGCGGCATGGCATTTTGGTCACCCGTTTCAGTGAGAATCGAGGAGGAAGGCTAAGCGAGAATGTTTTTGCTATTGAACGTTCGTTACACAGAAGTTTACAATTACCATTTTATTGATTTATCTTTTTGAACAGTTTATACATGGAATTTAAACTAAATAGTTTATTGAACATATTCCAAAATGTTTGAAAAATTGAAAAAATAAGTTCTCAGTTTGTTAAATATGATTTAACGATTTTTAATTTCCATCTAAAGTTTGACTTTGTATGATAGCAAAATAAGATATCTTGGAAAAATCGCATTTTTAATTAAATAATAATGAAAATGTTAACAAATTATGTTGACAGATAATAATTCATTAATTTTTTTTGTCAAATTCAACTATTAATATGAACATTCCTTATATCTTTCTATCAGTTAAAAGCAGATTTATTTTAATATACATGCAGAAAACAAAGGTTTGGGAACAAAGAATTTTCTCGTGCCCAGCAAAAGTTTATAAAAATATAATACTACACAAACATTACATAGTATACACTTAAATATTTCACCTAGCTTGAATGCTTGCTTGTTTTTAAATTTCTTTTTTGTAATACTTTTAATAAATATTAATAAATTTCAAATTTAGCCGGAATAAAAAATCCAATACGAAACAATAAAAAGTTTGCATTCTTTGTCTTTTAGTGTTCTATAAGTGTGTCTATTCATTTTAAATTTCGTGAGTAATAATTCTCATTTCATTTCTTAAAATCTAACTGTTTAGATTTATAATATAATTTTATAAGCAAAATTATATGGACTTATATCATTCAAAATTGGCAAGCACACCCAAGCAAAAATCAAGTTAAAAAATATATATATATTTATAGCTGTTTATCTGAAGCGATTCTTTCATTTTGAGTTTTTTTGAGGTATTTTTTTTTGAAAACTTTTTATTTGTGGCTTTAAGATTTTAACTTGATGGGGCTTTATTAACGTTTTTTGCCTGCACTAAGGACTTCGAAGTTTTCCTGTGAACGTCGTCTAGAAAGAAAGTCTCTGGCTCAAGCTACCATCTGGCGTACAGAAACTTCAGACGTATAAGAATAAACATTTTCAATTTGTATTTTATTTTGCTGCTAGAGTTGTTAGAAGTATGTAATGTTTTCATTTGTGTTTCATTTGTTTGCTGATGCGGACTTACATATACATATATCAAGGATTTGGATTTTATTATTTTTAGACAGTAAATTGAGATATCTTCTGCTTGTTTATGAAAGTGTGAGACACTGTGAGATAAGTTCAACTCAATTATTGGGCTTAGAGGAGGATAAACTTATTTTTGGGATAGCATTTGGTCAATCTATTGGTGCTTATTTATATTATATTATTTAGTAGGAATTCCATACTAATGTATTTATCCTATTACAGTTTTGTATTAATCTTGGGACGTATCGATTTTTATTTACTTTTGTTGATTTTCTGCATAGTGTCTATGGAGTTGAAAATATCATTGCCGAAGATGCCGACGCTATTGCTATTCAAACCTTCGAGATGACGGTTGCGCAATTTGCTTTTCGGCTAGATGTTCTTGAAACTGAATCGTACGTGTATAGCCGCGCTCTTTAGGGTGACCGTAATATGCGATACATGTCTGTTATCGATAGTCAAATGTTATACTCATCGCGAAGTTGTATCGATAACAGCAGAGCTCAAAGATTTTACTCATTTGGCATTGTTAGACTAGTTGTATTTGTTAAATATTTAAATATATAAGTAATATAATGACAATGTGCAGGAAATTTAATTATTTTGCTAAACAGCAAAGACGTGCAGACGTACCTTATCTGCGTGTATTGAGCTAAACAATTATTAGCATACATTTCTAAGTGCTCATATCGAATAACTTACTCATTCGGCTCTGTTTGATAGGCTTTAAATGCTTAATTGTTAAAAGTAATTAATTTTGAGCTATAGAAATATATTTCTCGTCCAAACCTACATATATTTACGACTAAAGATTCAACATTATTTACGAAACTAAGCGCAACAATTAGCTAGTTTTATGAAATTGCGAGCTCGCATCATCATATATGCCTATTATTTATTCTTTATATTTGTTGTTTGTGCAGATGTGTAATAATGATAACGGAAAGAGCTTGTTTAAATAAATATTAAGTAAGTACTTAACAACGCGGATGGCAACATATTTACAATAAATCAGAGTTTCATGTATTTTAATTTTTTTTGTATTCCGCACTGTGCGTGTGTGTGTGTGTGTTTAGGTAGGTGTGTATCACCCGTTCGTCATGTTACTACGCTTGCCCCTGTTGTTAGCGCGTTTTCTGCACAATGGACGGCTGCGAATGCTGTTCCTGGGACTTATTCTTCTGCTTTTAGTCGGCATACTGCTTACCTATAGATGGCAAACAAATGTACAGCTCTGCTTCATTGAGAGTGAGCAGGCGGAGTCGGCTTCTAGTGGTCCATTGGCAGATGGCAATGCGCAAATACCAAGAATTTTGGAAGATGTCCTATCAACAGAGCCAATGCCAATACCTGGACGCAGCATATTCTTTCATGAGACCAGCTGTCATAGGCCCAAACGCAAACGGCAGCGTCCTGATTCGCAGTACAATATGTTGCAGTTGACGGCTCGGCAGGCTTGTGCCATTGAGTCCGCTGCATTGCATAATCCGAATTTTCAAGTTTTTGTTCTATTTGCTGGTCCCACCTATCGACATTATGGCAATAGCAGCAGCAGCAGTGCCAGCGGCAGCAGTGGCAACCAGCGCCATCAGCCGATTATCGATGCAATTCTTAGCTACAAAAATGTACATCTACGACAATTGAATCTGTGGCGCTATGCAGCTGGCACGCCCATTGAAGAGTGGCTAAAGGATGGACGTTTGTTTCGCTCAAGGTGAGTGGTCCTAATCTGTATTTCATGAATTAATTTATTTAAATGTGCCGTCTTTTCAGCTATCTCTTCTCGCATATATCGGACTTCTTGAGATTTCTAACGCTTTATCGGTATGGAGGTATCTATTTGGACATGGATGTGGTTATGCTGCGCAGCATGGAGGATGTACCGCCCAACTATACTGGTGCCGAATCAAATACTCATTTGGCTGCTGGTGTCATGAGTCTGGCACCAACTGGATTCGGTCATGAGATTGCCGAGGCGTGCTTACAAGATTTTCAAAAGAATTTCGATGGCAGTGATTGGGGTAACAATGGACCTGGTGTTATAACGCGAGTTGCCCAAAAGATTTGTGACACAAAGGACATTGCACTTATGCTGGAGGATCGAAAGCGTTGCCTTGGCTTCAAGGTATTCGATCGCAATGCTTTTTATGCTGTACCCTGGAAACACTGGCGGCATTTCTTCGAGCCACAGCTGCTCGAACAGACGCTGGCCCACACGAAAGATTCGTTTCTGGTGCATGTATGGAACAAGCACTCCAAACAGTTGGCCATCAAGGTTGGCTCGAGTACCGCCTATGGTAAGTATGCGGAGCAGCATTGTCCCAGAGCGTATGCGGCAGCCGGTGACTATTTCTAGAGAGCCATTAACTTACAGTTCAACATTACCAAAGAGTTAGGCAGAATTAGGTAAGTTAAGTTCAATTTGTTATAAAAATATTTGTTAGCAAAGAGTCATTTACTTAGCACCAAAATGAATAACAAACACAAGAAAACATAAACAAAACTGCGTTGTCAGTATTTATAGAAATGTGAAATGCATCTAAATTGTCTATATACTCATGCATCTTCGGCTTGCCAAAGACAGAATATCATTGCAAACACATCATGCTATCATTTTCGATTTCTGGCTAATTTGAAATCTTTATTATCAAGCGGATTTCTTGAAATGTGCGCTGCCTTTGAGAGACGTGTACTTTAGTCAATCAGGTTCTTTTTAGTGACATTTGACATATAAACATTTTATAAATGAGACTTTCAGACATTTTTTCGAGCTTCTGATTGATAAGTTAATTATTTTACGAACCTCAATTTTAATTGCTTTCGTTTAATATCAGTGCTATTTCATAATGCTGGCATTGGTGCTGCGTTTTGGCCCTTGTCTATCCCGAATCTCAATTCGATTTCAACCGATTTCAACTTATATATACACATATTCAAATATGTCCTGTGTCCATACTTTAGGAATACAAAACATAATTATACAATTTGCAAGGATATTCAAATGTATCATATTTTTTGACTGTCCCATCAAATGGAATATGTGACTAGATTATACATTAAAATTTCATTCCAATAGTAAACAAGAAATCTTTTATATTCGAATCTGTACTTATAGTTCAAATAATTTCACAACTGAGATGCTGTCGTTTCTGTAGTTTTTCTATGAATGTATACAAAACCTTTATAAGTAAAATAGCGCAAGTATATCAATCTGTGAATTTCTGTGTATATTCAAAAATTGCAAAATTACAATGATCAATGTAAAAATAAAGACTTTGGTATTTGCGTGAATTTTATTGATTTCCCCAACATCATGCCCGTCATGAGGATGTTTAATTATAGAATTTAATAACAGGTAAGAGTACTGCAGCTTGCACTAGTCTACTAGATAGTAGATAGATAGATCAACACTAACTTTTTTCAACAAATTGGTATATACCAAAAATCATAATAGCAAAATATTATCATATAATATGATAATGAAAAGAAATCTAAATCGAAGTCATGTTTAAGAAATATTCTTACCCGTTTAGATCCTGAGACGTCAATGGGTTTCCTTCCTTTATTTTCTAAATCTATTTTACATTGTTGGGTATTGTTTCCTTGCCTTCGAGTTGTTGCCAATTGAAAGAGACTTTTCTAGAGTTTATCTGGAGGGGTAATCAGCAGTTGTACAGGCGGGTTAAATCGCATTATAAATGGTTTTTTCTTTTTACTTAAAACATGTTAAAAGTGAGGCGCCAGAGCGCTTTGTTAAATCAAATATAATTTCAATTGGATACGCAAATTGCTTGATGATTTGCTGTCAGTATTTGCATAGGGCTAGTGCCATCAAGATGACGTCTCTTTTGACGCTGCGTTCGAGATTGTTTTCAGTGCTTATTGTTTTAGTTTTGGGTGGCATACTCTTAACGTACACATATCAAAAGAACGCGGCTAAGGCTATGGCGTATTTAAGAATGTATAAGCGAGTCCATGTTAAGGAGATGCCAAGGCCGCTTGACGATGTGCTGCTGGCGGAACATCAACCGAAGCCTGGACGCAGCATTTTTTTCCTGGAGACCACTCGCGTAACGAAGAATATTTCGGATATGAAAAGCAACATGCTACAGCTGACGGCGCGTCAGGCTTGTGCCATTGAATCAGCAGCTTTCCATAATCCAAATTTCGAAGTGTTCATTTTATTCATTGGTCCGATCTATCGGTATCCTGACAACAGCAGCCGGCGGCAGTCACCGATAATCGACGCGATTTTGAGTTATAAGAATGTGCATCTTCGTCAATTAAATGTTTGGCGCTATGTGGAGGGAACACCTATCGAGGAGTGGGTTAAAGAGGGCGACCTATTCGAATCGAAGTAAGATAAAACTTAATATCCACTATGTAATTCACTAAATTTCTTTCTTTGATTTAGATATCCGGCTAATCACATCTCGGATCTGCTTCGGCTAATAAGCCTCTACCGCTATGGTGGTATCTACTTGGACATGGACGTTGTTCTCCTACGCAGCATGGAGAACGTGCCTGGGAATTTTGCAGGCGCCGAAAGTCTGAGAAGCTTGGCTAATGGAGTTATGGGCATGGAGCCAATTGGCTTTGGCCACAAGTTCGCCGAGTATTGCCTATTTGATTTTCAGCACAACTTTAATGGAACTTTGTGGGGCTACAATGGACCAGGTGTAATTACACGCGTAGCGCAAAAATTTTGTGGCACAAAGAACATTTCTTTGTTACTAAATGATCGGAAACGCTGCCATGGATTCCATGTGTTTGATGACACGGCCTTTTATGCAGTTCACTCTGCTCATTGGCGCTACTTCTTTCAGCCGGAATACTTGCAGCAAGCGCTGCAACTCACGAAACATTCGTTGTTGGTGCATGTGTGGAATAATATCTCTAAGCAACTAAAGATTAAGGTCGGCTCACCGACTGCATATGGCAAGTTTGCAGAACAAAACTGTCCTAAAGCATATGCTGCAGCAGGATTATATTTTTAATAGCAATTGTAATTATAGCCAAGTGCGATTTCTTTAAGCTTTGTTTTATGTTTGCGAATTGCTAAATATTTGCATAAATGTTTTATAGCTTAACAGCCATTGTAATATGATTTAGCTGCCATACGATCGATCGATCAGTCCGAACTGAAGTTCTTCTATATGATAACTAAGTAAACGTAAATTGACCAATTGGACATTGTAAATTGGCCATTGTAGAAATAGCACTCTTTCTTTAATTGTGCAAAAGAACAGAAGGGCAGTACAATAAGTCAATAGAGTTAATTCAATATGTACATTTTCTAAAACGAAATAAGAGTTTGGTGAAAGGAAGCCAAGGGCAGCTTAGATGCACCGCACCTGGCTGTAGCGCAGGCAGGCACCTATGTTGTCCTCTGCACTTCCCTTGCCGGCGGCGCTGCCATCACCAAAATGCACTCCAATGTAGAATGGAGTGACTGTACTCTCGATGCGACAGGGCCAAACACCGGAGGAGCAAAATTGGGCGCCACAGTGGACCGGCTCACAGCCCGGCAAAGGACCGTAGCCCGTGCCAATAAAATCCTCAATGATGCAGGGCATGGTTATGCGATCCGTGCAGGTGCTAAAGAATTGACGTGACTGGCGACGCCGGCGCTCTTGGAGATGCCTGAGGCGCAAGTCTAGAGCATTGCGCAAGAAGCCCAATAGATCGAAGCCACCTGACGATGTTTCATCGCCCACTGGCCTTGGACGCCTCGAGACGCCAGGTTGCGACGTAGTCACGTCATTGCTGACATCGTCCCCTTTGGAGAAGAAGAAAAAGTTGTCGTCTTCATTCCAACCAGAACCCTCGGCATCGTCGTTAGCGGGCGAGGCTGAGGATGACGGCGTCTCAGTTGCAGCCGTGCTTTCGCCCATGGCTGGCATAATGCTGGAACGTAAAGGCATTGCTGTTGTCATGGCTGCTGTGCTGCTACCTCCGCTGGCAACAGCGCCAGCTGCTGCTGTTGTGCCGGGATTGCTTGACATTGGCGCCTCAGTGCTGGTGCAGTTGACTAAATTATTAATGATTTGCTCCAGATTTGGCTTAATGGTAGTCGTAGCTGCTCTGGTCGGTGTAGTAGTTCTGGTAGCTGTAGTTGCTGCCGTGGATGACATCTGCGTCTGTACAGCATTTGATGAGGTGCTAGCACTACTAGCCGCATTGTTCATTGTGGATATGAAGGAGCCACCACTGCCGCCGCCACCAATGCGAAAGGATTGCTCATCGCAGGGCTGATATATAATAGAGCACATATCGGACTCCTGGCGCACACAGATCCGGTAATGCTGGTTGGCCAAATGCCTCCCATTGTCGGCATAATTAAAAGTCTGTATAATACCTTCGACACCGGTATGATACTGCAAACATCCTGCCGGAGCACGCTGACTAAAGGGTATTTGCGTGACCCGAATCTCCCACAATCGTGTGGGCAGAAAACGTGTGCTCACATTTATATTGATCTCAATGAGCTGTTCCAGATCGCTGTTGTCGTTAACTTCACTAATGTTGCCACTAGAAGGGGGTCGAAGACTTCCATATAGCGTTGATTGACGCGGCAAGGGTCGAGAGCCCACATCATAGTATACTAAAGACAATATATTTGAAATGAAAAGAAATAGATAATATATTCAGGACAATCTAATAATGTATGTAACAGACAGAAGAACGACTGACCGGTCCCAGATAGAATTGTATTACTCTTGGGCTTGTCTGCTTGGGCACTCCCAACTGGAGTACACTTACTTATTGAAAAATTTCGTATGGCATCTGCTGTACTCACAATGCTGTCCATTGTTTTGGCCACAGAGCGTTAGAGGTCCACTGGGGCCACCGCTGATATTGAAGATGTCTCCATCGCAGACACCGGTGCGTCGATTGGGCTGGCTCAGCGAGAAATGGTAGAGATCCAGACGTAGCTGACTAACGTCGTGACGCATCACCTTGACCTTCAGCTGGCAGCCAGTGAAGTTGCTAGGCATGAAACTGGGAAACTCTGGTGACACAATATACGTCAGGTTGCTGTTGATCGTGCCGTTGCAAGTGGCAACGAAAACGCAGCACACGCCAAAGCTCATGGCGCAATCGCCTTTGGCCTGCCCACCCTTCTGACGACATTCATATGCATTTAAACAGTTACCCAAACGTCGACCATCATTCGACAAGCACTCCCCATTCACGGGCACTGCAAATAAATGTATTACTGAAAAGAACAGAAAAGTTATTCTTTATATTATTTATTTCGTTTAACGACTGCATATAAATTCATTTGAAGAACTTCTTGAAATATCTTCCTATTGACAGTAATCTCAAGAGAATCAGCTCATTATTAATTATTTTTGCTTCAATTTAATATTATTATTATTATTATTATTATTATTATTATTATTATTATTATTATTATTATTATTATTATTTTTAATTTTATTATTATTATTATTATTATTGTTGTTATTATAATTATTATATTATTTTTATTAATTTTATAATTATTATTATTTTTATTTTTATTATTGTTATTATAATTATTTTTCTTATTAATATTATTATTATTCGTATACTTATAATAATTATTTTTATTATTATTATAAATATTATATTGTTTCCTCACTCACACTTTCGTTATGCTTCAGGTTTTCCTCTAGGTCTTTGACCTTGACCCACTTACCTTTGGAATATCGATTGCCATTGCTCTTGATATGTTCAGATGTATTATCATCGTTCCAATCGTCGCTTGCAGCCAGATTGTTGCCAAGATTGTATGTTTGCTGCAGCAACAGTTCTTCGCGTTCGGCGTGCTCCGCTTCGTCCCGATCATCGATTAGCTCAAGCTCCATTTGCAGCTGCTGGTCAGTTGCTTGGGCTTTCAAATCGGCGCTCCAGATATCATAATGATGCATGGGTGGCCAGGCAGATTCATTTGCTGGAGTAACTGCCTCCAAGGTGGGCGCTGCCTGACACAGCTGAACGTTTAGCCACAATGTGAATATGCTAACCAACAGCAGCAGCAGGTTACAAGTGGTAAAAACAGTAGCAGTCGCAGCCGCAGCTTTACAACAACCGGCTGGTCCGGCAAACACAATAACTTTCTTTTTAGTCGCACATCGTAATAAGCTAACAATTTTATTACACATGTCTGGCCGCGGCAGGCGCAGAACCTTAATGATTAGCCATGCCATGTGTAATGCCAATGCCAATGCCAATGGTTTGGCTCCTTTAACTGCGTTTCGCATTTGCGCGTGCGCGTGCGCTCCGTTGCGTTGCGTTGTGTTGCGTTGCTCAACGTTAAGTGTGCAGCCGGCTCTAGCTTCGGCTTTGGTCACCAGCTTCCAGCTGTCCAAGACAGCATATATGATTTGCTGCATTGCTGGCCTGATCAGCTTTTCTCTCTTTCTCTCTCTCTCTCTCTCTCTCTTCTCGATTTAGGTTACTGTCGTAGTAGTTGCTTTAATCTGAGCTTGTTTCTGTTTTCTATTCTCGCCACTTAGTGATCTGATGATGTTTCCATATTAGCAAATTAATTGAGAAAATTAAGTTCAATTAAAGCTCTTCGATACCTTAAGTTTTGAGTATAGGTAAACAGCTGCTTGACTTCTGCCCACACAGTCCTAGCCATGCATTTGTGCTGCATTAGGCAGTTGCTGTTGTTGTTATTGTAGTTATCAGTCTGCTGTTTAGTGAACGAATGTGAAACAGAGTCAAACATAATCAGGTTAACCAGCTCTGTGAGTAACTTACACTTGCAACAGCAGCAACAACAACTAGTGCGAGCAGCACAAACAAGTCTCTCAGCAGCGAAAACTAAACATAGAAAGCTGACAAGTTCAGCGAGGCAAAACTGAATGTAAGTGATAAGTTTGGCTAATCTAGAACAATAGTAACACAATAACTACTATTAACTTTGCTTAAATTTTTTATAAATAGTCAAATTTCAAATTATAACAGAATAGAATAAATAGCTAGTTGTTTTCATTAATTTGTCAACTTAAAGAGTTCTTCATCTGATTACCTTACACTCATATAACATTGCAATCATGAATGGATATGTAAGTTCTAGGACCAGTTTGATCTCTTACTTTCACTTTTGATCAATGGATTATTTATACAGCTCTTTGGGGCTTTAAAAATATTCACTTTAAACAGGGAAAGACATCTTGGGAGACTTTCCTTTGTTTCAATATAATTCTTTAACCACTTTGATCAATTTATTCAATACTTTTATGGATTTTTGCATCTGTGCAGTTATGTCTTTGGCTACTTTTATATTCCTTTTAGAGTTCTCTTAGTCTGAAGCATTCACTTCTCTAAAGATTGATTCAAATAAATTTGCCTACGCCCGCAGCAACGATAATTGATACCAGCTTGATTAATGGATTGCGATTATACGGCTTACTTATTAAGTCGTCCTGCACAAACAACATGAAATATATGAGAAAAGTACAACAATTTAAATCAGCTCTAAATAGGAAAAGAGAAACTCTCGTATATATGGAAATATTGGTTGATTTGTATTTAAGGAGATGCCCACGCAGTACTTTTTAAAGCTACCGCACGTGGTTTTGTTAATTTAAGATAGGATTGATTTGTAACATTAGCAGTGTATGTAAAATATAAAAAAATAACAGTCAAGGATTATACAAAATAGGTATTTTGAGTATTTGCTTTTGTTTTTTTTTTAAATAAAGCGCTTAATCTTAAGTCATAGTTTGAACTTTGTACAATGTGTTTTAGTAAGTGTGTTAGCCAAGTTTTGTTGTAGGTGTTGTTGGATATTTTCGAATGCCTATAGCGGCTCTAGGGCGGTGGGGCCATGCGGACTTCCTTCCAGCTTGCGCCAGACAACGTTGCACATCTCTCGCACCAGCGCCTTCTCGCCGTCGTCCATTTGATCGAGGGCACAGCCCGCCAGATTGCCCAAACGATCACGTTCCAGCTGCTCCCTTACTTCCAAGACTTGCAGCGCCCGAACCACAGCTTCCGGTCGGCCAGAAATTGGTTCGGGCAAGGCAGCAGCAGCCGCTGCTGCTGCAGCCACCGCCTGACTGATGTCCTGCTGTGTGTGTGTGCTGTGTGGCGAGGGCGCTAATTTGGCTGGTGCTGGTGCTGCTGGTGGTGTTGCTGCCTGTGGCTGTTGTAAATTAGCCGTTGGCGTTGTGCGTTCCTCCTCCAGCTGCTGTATGCGCCGCTCCAGCGAGCGTACATATTGCAAAGTCTGATCGTTGAGCGTGTGGGCGTTGCGCAAATCCTGCACAGAATTTAGCCGAGCATTAGATTGAAACAGTGAACGAAGTCTATTATTTATATATGATTTACCACTTACCGGCAATTGCCTTTGTTCCGCATAGTTGCGCAGCGCTGTGATTGTCTCGTCCGCGTTGGTGCTTGAACTCGATCCGTCTCCGTCGTCGCGCAGTGCGTTACGCGTGGCCGCGCCGCAGCCAGCACAGAGCGCATTGGCAGCAACATGAGCACGCTCCTCATCCAAGTACAGGCACAGCTCCTTCAGCTCCAGGTTATCGGTGATTAGCTCCTGCTGCTTATCGTCCAGTTGACGCAATTTATTCTGTATTATTCATATATAAATTTCTCAATTGATTATTATTCGATTTTCAAATTTTATATTCCATCTAACGCACCTGATAGGCAGCCACCTCTTGACGCATGACACTGGCCGTGTAGCGTCCAAAGCGTTGCCATTCTCGTGCCAGCTTGCGGCCCTTTTGCCGATCATCGTCCAGAAAGCAACACAAGTCGCGCAATTCCTGGTTGTCATCCAGCAGGCGCTGATTTTGTTCCTTCAGCGCGCGGAGCTCATTTACCAGGGACTTTAAAAAAGCAGACGAACATTAATTTGAAACTAATTTTGAACGTAGTCAACGATTTACCTGCAGTTGACGATTCTGTTCGATTGTTAATCGTCCGCCGTTGGCCGTTGGAATGCCTGTGGCCACGCTGGACGTGACCGAGGCACTGGGCGACGGATGTTCCTGCTCTTGTTTGCGCACAAACTTCAGCATGTCCTGTTGTGCCTTGCTGGACTGTTGATGCTGCTGATGCAGATGGCGCGTCTGCTGCTGCTGTTGCTGCTGCTGCTGCTGCTGTCGCTGTTGTTGTTGTTGCTGCTGCTTCACAGAATCGGGTATATAGATGCTGGTTAACTGCGGTATATCCGGCGGATACTTCAGTGGCAAGTGTGGCTTCAGTATGCCGCCGCCTGAACCCGGCTGCGGCGGTGGCTGGTATCGTGGGGGTATCGAGTGTGCGGGGGCTCTTAGATGTGCTGCCTTAAGAGTTGCCTGTTGTTGCTGTTGTTGTTGTTGCTGTAGCTGATAGAAGCTGCGACGCGTTGATGGTAATTCCTTAGAATTGTTAATAAGCTGTTGCTGCTGCTGCTGCTGTTGCTGCTGCTGTTGCTGTTGCTGTACAGGCAGACGCGATGCTGTGTGTTGCTGCTGCTGCAGCGCTGAGTGTTGCTGATGTATTGTGGCCACAGTTTGCAGCTGATGCGACTGCCCTGCTGCTGTTGGTGTTGCTGTTACGCTTTGGTGCGCTGCTGCGGCTGCTGGCAGCAATGAGCGCCTTTGCTGTAATTGTTGTTGTAGCTGTTGCTGCTTACTAATTGCTGTTGTTGTTGCTGTTGCTGCTGCTGTTGCTGCTGTCGTTTTGTGTACAATTTTGTCAACGCTATTAATTTTTATCAAATTATTGCCTAAAGTACTCGACGTTCCTGTTGTTGTTGTTGCTGTTGCGTCTGCTGCTAATGCCTTTTGCTGCTGTTGTTTTTGTTGTAGTTGTAGCTGCTGCTGCTGTTGTTGTTGTTGTTGTTGCTGTTGTTGTTGTTGCTGCTGTTGCTGTTGATTGCCAGACATTTTAATGTTGGTTCCTTGTTCGTTCACTTATTATTGTTGTTTTTATTGTTTATGCGATTTAAGTGTCTATGCCCTCGGCGCCATGTTGCGTAGTCACTGCAAAAATGAAACGATAAACAAATAAGTAAGAGCGTGCTCTGTGTGAGTAGTCGACTAGAAGGTACCCTGTATGCCCTGTGCCTATTCCCAAAGGAGTCTACAAATGCAAGCTTCGATTATAGAGCAATTTGAAATAGAAAATAAAATTTATATTTCAAGTTATGTCTGCTAGACTCTATTCAAGTCTCTTGCTGCAATTGTCATACCCATTATTCAAAGTGGTATTGGGTATACAACAGTCGAAGCATTAGTGAAAAGACCTCAATTGGCTGCATGAAAAGAGAAGGAAAACAAGGTAAGCTATAAATCAGAGCATTGTAAAATGTAACTTATGCGACATTAAGGGGCACAGCCGCATGTCGTTTCTGTACATGCCACGTATAATAATTAAACTGTCATTAGGCTGCGCTGCGCTGATAGAAAGTGAAATGCACATTTTCCGCCACGACGCACACATGCCCAATGCCAGAGAGTCGCGAAATAGTTTCCTAGACGAATCTTGTCACAGTGCGCAACTAAATGCAACGAAGCGTCGTAAATTTCGACGACTCCCAACCGATGGAAATGTCACTGTCACTGTCATTGTTCTTGTTATTGTCTCTGTTTCTGTCTCAGTCACTAAACGACGCCAAATGCATCGGTCTTGATAGCTGACTAAATGTTGGTTTCCGTTTCTGGTTTGGAAATTGAAAGCCAGTTGGCACCCGAGCTAGGCCATGACTATCTCCATCTGCCATCAGCCATCTGCATCTCATTCATCTAGATTTGAAAGTGAAAACATAATGTATGGGCTAATGATTTCAGCCACGTGGAGCTGTTGCCAAGTTTTTCTATTTCCAATTAGTTTAGCTTCTAGAAAGAGAGCCATTGCACATCTAAATCTTTAAGTTCAGTTGAGAATCCAGTAGAGAAGGAATGTTGGCAGCCTTGGCAATAAGCTGGATAGCCCTCTCAGGTTTATCTTTAAGTTAAAATATAACAAAAAGTCTATATTTAATCTTTCATCTAATGTCAAGTAATATTTCCTTCATATTTCGCTATTGTTGTTTTATTGCTTCAATGTGAAAGACAACTATAATGATCGTACCTAGAACTAGAATTCCCACAAGTTTGACTCCAGATCCACCCACGCAGCATGGAAAACAGGTTTTAGCGGCTCAACACCTTGCCTAGCACAGAAGATTGAGTGCGTTCGCACTTACATTGTAGCTGTGGCTGAGAAATTTCTTAGCCAGAACTTCGCTTTTAAAATGTTACTAATTACACCAATTTATTTTAATTTTTTGTGAAGGAAAACAAATGAGAGGCAACGCCTTGTTTGTAGTTACCATCAACATCAGCCAGCTGCATAATTTGTATTTTATTATATAATTTCCAATTGGCTGTAAACTAATATAAAGCTTATGAAACTTCAACCTTTTTTACAATTGATTTCAATTGACCTATTAATTTTTTTTCAGTTTTCCATTTAAATTTTCATTGAAAACTGGAAAATAAAACCGTTTCAAACCCGAGCAGTATTCGCTTTAATATAATGTTGTTCACATAAGGTTCACTCGTTTATTTTTCAGCTTGTTCAGTTTTGATTGGGTACAAGCAGACGCCTAGCTCTGAAAGGCTGAAGGGGAGGGCAGTACAAATCGCTCCATGTATTGGCATTTCCGACCGTAGCCGACCCCAGTGTCTTCTTCAATGAAATCGACCCCAGGCCAGAGCCCGAGCCCAAGCCCAGGCTGGGGCTGAGGCTGGTTCAGTTTCAGATTCAGAGCCAGGCCACGACAAGGCAATCAAAAGAAACAAATCTACAGCAACAACAATGAGAGTAATATTTGTGCTCATTAAGCGTAACTGACACACGAAGTTTTTGCTGTTGCTTTATATTTTTGTTTTAGGGTTTCATCATTTCGCAAGTGGCCAAAATCTACGGATTCTGTGTCTCTGTGTGTGACTCAGGCAAGTATGTATTCGGATATGTATTTATGTATAAGTCTGGTGCTGGTGCTGGCTCTGCCGCCCCCTGCTTGTGGCTTTGCGAGCGAGAAGAGAAGTTGAAGTTGTTGGCTTCTCACATTGTTTTTACGCTTTGCTCTTGGCAAATTTCATTTTCGTCCGCGGCTCCAGCAATAAGAAAAACAACGCCAAAGAGAGTCAGAGAGCGATTGCTATTATTTTAAGGTAATTCGATGATTTACAGCAGTTGCTTTGTCTTTTGTTAGTTGTCTTTCAGAATGCTGCGGCGCTGGCCCTCGAGTCGATGTGTGGGGCAATTCAAGCCAAACAACAGCACAAAATTTGCCAGCCAATAACAATCGGGTGTAAGCGACTGCACTGTTTGCCCTTACACTTTTGAAATGAAAATAAATTTGCTAATTTTTAAGCTCCGACTGTGAACTTTTAGTAATTGTATTCTGAAGATAGAAGAAGGCATGACAGATTTTTGATATCAACTTCGAAAATTCAACCAGTTTCTTTAATTATATTTCGCTGGCATTAAATGAGTTTAGGGATAAGCTGCATGCAAAACGAATATACCCTTGATCAACTTGTAAGCGTAGTATAACAAAGGGACAGTCAGTCAGACTGGCCGCTTGCACGGCCTGCCTGGCCTGGCCTGGCCAGGCCCTGCCTCTGAGTCTGAGTCTGCTCGCTGCATTCTTTTGTTATTTCGTAATGGCAGCGATGCCGTTTGCTTCTTTACTGTAATTTTTGCATAGCCAGCAAACAGGGGAAGTGGTTACAAATGTTACCCCACGCCATTGGCTTTGTCTTTAACTCTTCTGTTTCGCCGCAAGTTCTGGCAGTGAAGCGGCTCTCGATGGTTTGGCGTTTCACACCTGTTTCTACTTTTAGGCGGGCGCAATCCTATTTAACGCAGCTGTTGCTCTGCTTCAGGAACTGCGTCTTTACATCAACCTGACAGGTTGATAGCTATAATGGCATTGTGTGAAGGGTGTAGGAGCCAGCCCTATCTATGATGATATGGCAGCTGTTGTGAATTTGTATTGTAAAATTTATTGCCCAACCATTTACAGCAGACACATTTGCTGGGCTGTATAAGGGACAACAGACAAGTTTGAGCAACACTTTCGATGCCATTCCCTCCTTCAGCCAACAACAACAACAACAACAACAACATCAGCAATATGTGAAGGTAAGCCACGGAGCAACAGGCTTGCGCTTTCACCTTTCCAGTGCGAACAATCGCTTGAACACTTGTTCAAATCGCTTTATTATTAATTGCTCGCCTGTGAGTAAGTGTTATAGCAGGTGCCAAAGGTTAAAGAGAGAGAACCATTAACGAAAACTCGTTTCATTGACAAATACAACGTATAACTTCTTGTTACAAGTCGTTTGTTCTCGCTCATACTGGAGTTGTTCCACGCTTTCCACACATCATTAAGATAAGCTTCTTCTCTATTCTTTACAGTTACTAGACTTTCATATTACCGTCAGTTTCTTGGCTGATATTGTCAGTCGTGTGTTGGGCTTATGTAAGGGTAAATCATGCAGTCAAGCACATTCCCTCACATTATTAGCATCAGTGGATTCGCTTTGTATAAATTGGCCGATTACATTTTGACTTTGTTCAATGTTTTTAGCCATTTTGCTCTACTTTAAGAATTATTCATCTTTCGCCCATTCACTTGACCCACTTTACAAACTTGGCTAATTATTCTTAAAGTAAAAAAGAACGTTTGAGTCGAACTGCTTAAATAATGTTTTAAATACGTATATTAATCAGTGAGGGGTCAAAATAGTTGAAGGTTTAATAATAGATTAAGTAGATAAATATAAAAATCGCAGTTGCAAAATATATATTGAATTGAACTCTTTGATTTTATAAGTGCACAAATAAGTTGGTTTCTTACGAGCTGATCTTTTGCGAAGCCAATATACTCTCTTTAGTTGGCGAGCGAGTGTAAAAATAAAAGGAATTATTGTCATTACGTAATCGCTGTTGATCAACAATGGATTTTTATTTCAGTGTACCTAATACCATTTAGTTAGGTCTCAAAATTATCTGACAGGCGGCATGTTTTGCCGAAGTCTTGGTTTTTTTTATCTAAATAAACTTTTTTCAACGAAGCTTGAAACAAGTGTTTAATTAAGGAAATGAGCAGAGCCACAAGAGAAATAAACACGCATACGTAGACCTACACACGCATCAATTTTAAACAAAATAAGACAAAAATTCGTTGATAAATAAAATGAGAAAATAAATGCGTATATATGCTGAAACTGTACTCAAGGTTAAGAAATCTCTTTAAAAAAGCACACGCACCGGCTGCAAGACAGACAGCTTTTTTTGGTAGTGATGACAGGCAACAGCAACAGCAACAGCAACAGCTAAAGCAATGCCAACAGAAACAAAAACAACACGGTCACGGCAACGTCGACGACGACGAGAAAACCACAAGTCATGTGGGTTAAGTACACTTACTTAACAACACAATTCAAAACTGACCGCGCGCACAGACAATGAAATATGTAATGAAAGGTAAAGCTCAGCTCAGCTCAGCTCACGACGGAGATGGCGACGGCCACGGCGACGACAGTGACAGCTAACCAGCCAACAGCCAACAGCCAACAGCAATACTTGAAAAAGCCAATTGCAAGCGTGTGCGAATAGGATCAACCAGGGTTGGCGATTTAATGTTAAAGCTATCTATATGTGTGCGTATGTCTTCATGGTCACTAGAAGCTCGAAATGCCAGTTCTCCAAGTATTGGAAGAAACCTAACATTAAGACTGGAGTAATCTCTTTCAACAATTAACAACAATCAAAGTTGTTAACTATTTTCTTA